GTGGTCGTTAAGCCAATATGACAACATGTCAGCATAATATGCATGCGCATCCCAGGTCGGATGAAGCGTGGGCGATCCAGGCCACATTGCTGATATATTCTCCACCGCACCAGTAACGTTTGCATAGGTCACTGCTAGGTGGTAGTTCAGCATAGGAATTGAATAGTGTTCTGCTAACGTTTCCAGCTGCACGCTTCTCCAAGGGCCATCTATGACATTTCTGTTCCTATTCGATAGAATCACGATCAACGTGGATGGCAAATAAAGTCGGTACACTCGAATGAAAAGCTCAAGGTTATACCATCCGTTTTGGCTAAAGTCCAGAATGAGCATGTCCGGCACGCGCACATTGGGATGCAGATTCTGGATGTCTACCATCTGCCGCACCATGTCAAACGAGGCGCACTCCACGTTGCATCCGCCTCGTCCTTGGTGGTCCAACTCAACAAGACCAGGAAAAGCTTCGTGCAGTTTGGATACGAATTGGGATGCCCATGAACAATTTTTTTTGTCGCAAGCTTTGCTGACAACTGATGGGTGCTTGGGACAGCAATCAGTTCCCAGTGTCATGCTGCCCCCATACACCTGTATCTTGATAGCATGTCCGTTCACAACTCGCCGTAAAATTGCCTGCAGCGGCAAACAGCGTCTGGCTACCTGGTTAGCTATGCTAGCATTCCAAACTGCTGCTGGCAACACTGGCAGAGACTGGAAATCGCGTGGCATCCATACTCCTTCCAATGTCCCGGAATCTTCCTTGTGGTCCGGTATGTGAGGCAAAGGAGACTTGCACGGCAAACCAGACACGCGCTGTACAAAATGGATTGCAGGACGCGGTTCCATCGAAGTCAGGTGCCAACTTGCAGCAACTATAAGAAAAATCACAAGGCACCACTTCCCAATAGGGACTTGTGCAAAACCTGCCTTGTGCGGCATCGGCATGGCAGGCATGCAGAGTGGACTGACACGTGTTTATTGTTCAGGAGCATTACGAATCTAGGGTTTGGTCAGATGCTTGGCTCAAGGAAGCCCATGTTGTCGGTGAGTTGGGAGTCTGGAGCTGCATGCTGAGCCATCTGTAAAATGAGCATTGAAATCACATATCGATCGGAGCCATACAGCATCAGCCCAAGGTTCATGACTGCTCTGTCTTTTGGGGCTTTGGGAACCTAACAACATCCAATACCAATGCGACGATGACAACGACGCTTACTGTAGCAAGCTTGAACATCAAAGTTGGACGGATGCGCGAAACAGATGTCATGCACCTCATGCATGTCCAGCAAACGTTGCCAAGCCCACGGATGCGGGTTCCGTTGACAACCTTTTGCGCGCACAGCATGCGATTATCAGTCCAGCTTGCAAGATCATGTCTCGAGCAAAGTCTTGAGCTGTTCGTTCAGCGTGAGCCCGACTGATGCAAACAAGTCCTTGTAACGCTGCGCGTAATGCAACCGCTTAGCTTGGAATTTCGCCGCGTCAAAGGAAGCCGCCCCTTGAGAAATCAGCTCGCGCCAGCGTTCCGGCCCGAGCGCTCCCGCAGGTAACTTCAAATTTGGAATTGCCATAGAGTCGCACAGCTCCTGGACACGAATGTCTGGAGGAAAATCAATTACAGGGGTTCCTGCTGCCAGGGCAATCATAGAACCATGAATGCGTGCTGAAACAATCAGATCAAAAGAAGACATTGCTTTCTGCCACTCCCGCGCGTCATAGAACCAAAGTTGCTCGCCTGAATGCGAAAAGTTTGCAGCTGAAGGTGCCTTTCCAGGAACTGCGCCGGTTTGATAAATGTAGTTGTAATTGTCCTGCAAGACCATACTTGACAAGTTGAAGAATGCTTCCTTCAATCTGTCTCCAATCGCAGGCGGAAGCAACCCAACTCTCAGATGTCCGGCTGCAAGCCGTTCTGGTAACTGACGATATTTGTTGCTCAGCACCTGTGCCAGGTTCTGACTTGCATTAATGAAAAGAGACGGACATCCCAGCACTTCGCTGTTTGAGAAACCATTAGTGCGCATCATTTGCTGTGTGCATTCGCCACGCACACCTATGAAACCGCCTCGACTCTGTACGCGTTCTGTAAGCTGTCGCAGGAAAGCAAGCGCAGCAAGATTCAGTTCCGCAGAACAATTATGGTGATTGAGGCCCATGCCAAGCACCACGACAGGAACATTTGGAAGCGCAGCTATGGCATCACTCAGCGGTTTGATTCTCGAGTCTTTGCTAAGCGGGCCTATCAGCGGCCCTGTGGCCACCAGGAGCACTTTGATAGTGCTGGCCTGTGTGGTCCAGAGGTCTCTTCTCATGGCATACGGCTGACTTCCACCGAGTAAGCTCCAAGCCCCCAAAGACCAAACCAGGTTTCCCATGTTGTCAAGAGTTTTCAGGGGTCGTGCAGACTCCCATGCTGCTGGTCCATCTGCACCCAGTCCCAAGGCTGCTGCTGTTGCTTGGGCCTGAGTCAAAGACGGCGGACGCGGCCAATCTGGATCATATACTCCGACTGTAGCCACCTTGCCACGTGTCATGTTTTGCTTGAAGCTCTCGGAGATCAGTGCATTTGTGATACCTTTTGTTGTGAACGCATCTGGTCTGACAGCTGTGACAGCCATCACAGCTCCCACAACACCAGCGATGACGTAAAATGGCCGACGGCAGCTTGAAGCTTCATGCCAATTCTGGATGGCCTTCTCGAAGGAGTACAGTGCGACCCCAGTAGAGGTGAACAGCATGCCCACCGCAACATGCAAGGGCCACGACAAGCCTAAAAGAAGCCCGGTCAAGGTCATAGAGACGAAGCGCTTGACACAGTTTGCGATGGAATGTGTCAGCGGAGAAACTCTCGACAAGAAGAACATTGAAGCCAGGTTGTAGACCACATAGGATGCTGTGCCCAAGCAGAAATGATATGGCAGGCACAGTCTCTGCACCAGCCAAAACTGCTTGAAAAGCCAGAAAGGACTAAGCATCAGACATCCAAGCATACAAAACTTTGCATACAGCAAGCAAGGCGGCAACTCCAGGCCTTTTACCAGCACATTCCGCAGGGGCATGCCAAAAGCAGAGACCAACCCCAACACCACTCCAAGAGTTCCTGGAGTGTCCTTGGAGCCGCTAAGTATAACCCCAAAACAAACGAGAAGCGAAGCGCCAAACTGCACTTTGCTGGGAAAGCTCCCAAACATCGTAGATATGAGCATGGTAAACACAGGTTCCAATGCCTTGATAACTTGTACCTGACGGGCATCATACATGCAAAATACTCCATTCATCGCCAGCAAGGCCAAAGTGTTGGCCAGGCTTGCTGTGATCTCAGTTTTTTGGAAGGCAAAAACGTTCTCCCTGTCCAGCTTGCATGCATCACTCCGACCTGCAATGGATAATCCGATCGTTGCTCCCATGAAAAGTTGAGCGATGGTCAAGTCTAACCACAGCTGGTCACGAAAGCATGATTCGGGGCCTGCACATTTTGTAATGAACAGCGAGGCACTTGTGCTTGACAGTGTGTTTGCGCCATACCAAACTACCAAGGTGGGTGCCAAGAGCCAGAATTGCCCCACGTCATCGCATCCCTGCATCTTGCATGAGGCAGAGGACTTTACTGCAACCTGTCGGTGAAACAGCAGTTGTACGGCAAAGCCTGCTAATCAGATGTGCTCCAAGTCACTACTGCATAAGTTCCTGCAGATCAAAAGCTAGCAATGCTGTTGATGCCTGTAATGGTTTAAGGACTGCTGTTGCATGCGCATGGCTTCTAGTTATCACATGGCCGTCTCCAAGACGATAATTTGTGATCGAATGCCGCGTGCGCATCACAAACACACATGGTCAACATGGTGACTCCAAGCCGAAAGCTACTTTGCAAACAACCATGTTCATCATTGCAGTTTAAGTCCAACTGCTGTTTGTAAGACCAACACAGCCAATTGAATTACTGCAGACCTGCGAGCCATGTTTAATCCGATGATAATGCGCAACATCGCTTCATCTGCCTGCTGAGTCACTGCAAACTTGCAACGCAACTGGTGCAACACAAAGTGAAGTCATCACACTGTTTGCTTATTCTGTTTCCACAGTTACTTGCACAGGTGTGCACGCCAGGATTGAAACTACAACTTGTAAGGTTAAAGTGGCGGAAAAGGCAATCGAAGGAACCCCGCATCAAAGCAGACTATACACGTGCGCAACACAGTCAGGTCAAGGCTTTGGGTCACAACAGCTGTTTACTCGTCAAGACTCTA